GGTGTCGGAGATCCTCTCTGCTGCTTATGTCTATAAATCGTAATAAAATCTTCCTTTGTTTTTAAAGCAGTTTTTGACAGCTGATTTTTTTCCTTGTTATGGGAAATGTCATCTTCCTAACGAAGTCTCACTCCTCTAACAATTACTATATATCAGCAGTATTGAGCCATAAAGAATCGCGAAGCTGCTTTGTCAGTCAAATAATTCCTCTACGCCCCAAACTAATCACGGTGGGATGTTCAGGTTGACGTTCCTGTCCCGACACTCGGTTCCAGTGCATCCCTGTGGCACGGCATCCATCACGCACCACAGCCAGGCAAAGGACACGGCGGGTTTCATCCGGAGAGCCGCAGCGCGTATGGGAAGGGACCCAGCCCGGCTTGGGGACCGCAGGCACAGTTCAGGTGTGTGCGATTAGCCAGTGACTCCGAACACCACGATATACTGAGGCAAAAACATTAAAAGAGGATTTTTTTTTAAGGGAGTAGACCTGACTAAGAGAAGCATTTGCACGAACGCTACTTAGGATGAAATGCTGCGTCATTAATCTTCATAAATTCATCACTTTATGCAAGGAAGAAGCTTCCCTATATGATATATTACAGCGAATTTAGGTACATCACGGAGCAGGGGGTTCCCTTCCTTTCACTGACACATCCAGCGTTGTAGTAGTGTTCACAAAGGAACAAAAATCTTCCCAGGAAATGAAAATTCCCAGGTAGCAAGGATGGGCAAAGTGATTACAGATCCAAAGCCTTCCAAACCCTATAATATTTGTGACTGGCATGGGAGAGAGGGAAGAAAGGGAATCCAACCAAAATCCAGCACCTTGGGGGACCTGGAACAGTCTCAGCTGAGGTACGTTGAAGAAGCCTTGCTGCTCCGTGACTCTCGGAGTGTGTGTAAAGACAAAGGAGATAGAGCTTAAGAGAAAGAAGAGTACTCACGTTCCCCACTACGGACCAAGAATGCCCACTTTCCTGCTTCTTCCAATATACGGCAAAGGGTTGCTGGGTAAAACCAAAAGCAACGAGAGCAGAAGAAAGAGGTTGGAGGGTTCTGCTCTCCAGGCAGCCGTTCCCGCTCGCTGGAGGAGCATCCTTAGGAAATTCCCAAGCATGCCACACGCTTAGCACAGATTCAGTGATGTGGTTACGGTGGAAAACACCGGTCCTCCCACCTGTCCTCCCAATCAAACCGATTACACCCCACAGACAACAGCAAGCTTTTTCTTCCTTCGAGCCCACCATCTGAATCAGAAAACCGGCAACCTCAAGCTAAGAGTCTCAGCCGTTCTCTTGCCAGCTATTACCTTCAGCTCTTCGGATGTAAGCCTGAAATATCTCCCCAATAAAGAGCTCTGAAGCAATAAGCAATATTCTTGAACCCCAATTTACGCTCCATCTACTTATACACTACTACAGTGCTGATACAGTCAGACTTCTGCCCACGTTTTCCAAGCTGTGCGGAGGAGCAGCGTGCTCGTAACTTGGCAGCGTGTTCACGGACACAGCCGTGTCATGGAGCACAGGCAAACACACACACACACTAAAAACACACAATGTGTTCAGACTAGATAGAAAGCTACATTTCAAAACATTAACAATGTTCTAATATGACGTATTTCCCTCCTCTGAACGTGACCCAACGGAAAGAAGGGAACGTGAACCACTGTCCTTGGTATCACCATCATTAGGCTCCACCAGAAACAATGGAAAAGGATCTTCCTTCACTCGTCAAACGATCCTATGATGTCTCATAAGGATCCTGGGACCTACACAGAATCACAGAATGGTTTCGTTGGAAGGGACCTTTGAAGACCATCTCAGTCCAACCCCCTGCCATAGGCAGGGACATCTTGCTCTGGCAACCTGGGCCAGGGTTTCACCACCCTCATCATGAAAAATTTCTTCCTTATATCTAGTCTGAATCTCCCCTCTTTTAGTTTAAAACCATCACCCCTTGTCCTATAGCAACAGGCCCTACTAAAAAGTCTGTCCCCCTCTTTCTTATAAGCCCCCTTTAAGTATTGAAAGGCCGCAATCAGGTCTGCCTGCAGCCTCCTCCTCTCCAGGCTGAACCCCCCCAGCTCTCAGCCTCTCCTCCCAGCAGAGCTGTGCCACCCTCGCACCATTGCTGTGGCCTCCCCTGGCCCCGCTCCAACAGCTCCATGTCCTTCCCGTGCCGAGGACCCCCGAGCTGGACGCAGTACCTAACTTGGCTTGACAGAAATCACCTTCCATATCCTATGTTCTCTGAAAGGAAATTTTTTCTCCAAAACAGAGCTGGCAATTCAAGAAAACTTAAGATCTGTGAACAAAGGATTTGCTCATGCAGTAGAAAAGAAAATCACTAAGTGAGGTAGCCATGCCCCAGCGGCAGAGAAGTCTCCATCACCTGCTGGCAAGCTGCTTCACTTCATTTGGTGCATTCCCAGCCCAATGAAGACCACGAAAGGAGATAGAGCCCACCAAACAGGCATAAATGGTCAGGAGACTAAAGATCAGAAATTTTCCATATGAGTTCAGAAACGTTGCGGTGAATGGAGCAAATATATAAAGTCCAGGCCCAGTTAACCACTCGCACATACTGTATAAAAACCAGCTTAATCTAAAAGCACATTTAAAAATATTTACATCTAACCAAACCATTACACAGATAAGAGAGGTATTTTTAGATATACACCGATTTTACACACACAGAGTAATTAACCATTTAATTGCTGGAATTCCACTTGGGATTTGGGGGAGTGGGGTACTTCCCGAGCAGGAAATAACCTAACGTAAGTAAACTAAGTTAAGAGGTCGGGCACACACACATTCAAGAGTTTAACTCAATGTCTTCCGCCTCTCGATTTCTGAACGCTGTTTACCATCGTGAGCCTAAAAGGGGGAGGTTCAATCCAAGATAAAGACACCCAAAAAGTAACTGTCTGAAGTGGCTGGCGGAGATCCCAAGCAGGGCAGTCACAGCCTGGAGAGCAACTCCGATGGGCTTGAAGAGGACAACCAGCAGCTAGTCAGCCAAATCTCCCCGGGCTCCATCAGTTCCACTCTCGAGATCTCCAGGGACCAGGTTGGGAGCTCAGACAAAGCACACACAAAGCTTAAACTTAAGTTTCTTAATCTGGAGCTGAATTGGACCAGGAGCCCCTTGGACCAGAAGCTCTCTTTCTCATGCGAAGCCAATACTTAACAACATATTCTCATTTGAAAAAAACAGCTTGTCTTCCAGATCTTGCATCAATGCCAGCCCCACTTCTCCAGTCTGAGCAACTCAGCCCCCACCCCTGCCTTCTCCCTACCTCACAACCCATTCAATGTGCACCCTGGGCTTTGCTTCTCTTCCTTCTCCAGCCCTGGACCTCTGTTTCTCAGGCCCAGAGAAAGCAGCACAGCCCCGACTGTGTCTCCTACTGTTGCTTCAACTTGGAGATATGCGGGGCAGCGTGCAGAAAAAGGGGATGGGAGCAGCATCAAAGTCCTGTTTTTTTTTTCCTTTATCCTTTTTTCTAGCATGATATTCAACAAAAAGGGGAGAGGGGGATGGAAAGGGGCCCATCGTTGTTGCTTCAAGACTGGCACAAGCAAGGATGAAGCAAAGCTTTTCTGAAATGCTTGGCACTTTCTGTCCCATCCCACCTAAGACCAGTTGAGTTGCTGAGGGTGGGATGAGGAAGAAACAACAGCCTGGTTTTGTCCATACCCAAAGAGCGGGCATCTAATCAGGGCAGGTTTTTCCCAAAGCAGGGCTGGAGCACTTCTGCGTGCTAAAATATCGGGAGGATAAGGGTCACAGCACGCCTAAATGTTCGATCCCGGTGCGGTGCAGTGGATCCGAGAGCAGAGAGCACTCGTCAGCACTGTTGCTGCCTGTCTGCATCTGGTTTTCAGCAAATCTGACTTGAGTGGGAGCAGAACACTCAGTGGGTATCCTGGCAGCTGACATTTAACGTTCATGTTACTAAGCAAGCAGCAAAACATGTAAAAGGGGAAAAAACAAAAAAGAGTCAATCCTGTTTTTTCCATACTCCTGCACCAGAGCAGCTGGATTGGGTCAGACTGACACTTCAGCTCTCCCGGTATCTTTGTGAATACCTAGGGGAAAATCCAAGCACAGGGCAGGCATACAGTGACATTCGCCCAGGACGCTTTCCAGCCTGCAACTTTGTGCAGCACAGAAATACGTTTGTATTTAATAGCCAGCTGTATATTGTGTTATACCACTATGATAACATATTTGATTTTCTTATATATAAATGCCTAGAGGGCTTGACCCGTTCTGGTCTCATAATGCTAGGCACCATAGACAAAAATAAATAGTTAAGATAGAACCTGCTCCGACCAATTTACAGACCACATTACACTGCCAAGTTTGTATTTTAAAAAATGGTTTCTAGCTTTCTTTTATGAAAGGCTGCAACATAAACTATTAGGAAATAATTTCCCTGTCTACAGGCAAATGACAGAAATACACACCAGGAATCATGCCTCTGCCAACACACTGATTTTGACCCAGCTAGCAAACACAAGCAATACCTTTTTGCCTTCTTTTTAATATAAACTAAAAATAAATTATTTACGAAGAAGATATTAAGACTAATAAACATTAAAAAAAACCCTAACTCTCACAATTCTTTATAGGAGCAGCACATACCTACTGTGTGTTCTACTCCAGTCTGCATTACCTTGGGTTTATTAACTTTATAAATCAACACAATAAAATACGCTAGACATACAGTGTTGCTGGAGCTTCGGCTTACGCATTTCTTGACCCAGAAATTACTTGCTTAGTTTAAAATGTAATGCAATTCTGTACCAAAGTTCATTTAATATAAACAAGGGTCCAACCCATACCAAACACCGGCACTTTTTAATCAACACATGCAATCTCCCTGGCATCCAACGCTTTTCTGTCTGTGGAAGGGAAAAAGGCGTTTGGAGGAGTATCTCAACTCAAGCGCTGCAATTGAAGGGCACACATAAAACATGAATTGATACCTCTTGGATACGAGCCTCCTTCGGATGGAGATAACCTGGAGAGCAGTCTGCCTACGGCTGCAGGGCAGTCAGTCTTCACAGCATTCCACAGCTCTGCAGCAGCAACCGACAGAGAGAAAGAGAGAGACCCGTGAGGCTCCGCGGGCAAACCTGTCCGACAGAAAACACGGCTCCTTCTAGCAAAGAGTGGGCTTTATCTGTCTCCACCGGAGCAAAAGGAGTGGGTACGTGTAAGAAATGCAGTCAAAAAAGGAGGAGCGATGGAGATGCAGGATAAGAGGAGGAGAGGGAAGGGATACGGGCGCTGGCTACCAGACCGGCAGTTGCAGAAAAGACAGCGTGATGTGAATGGTCTGCCACTCACGTTTCCTACCCGCTGTCGTTAAACAGAGAGAGAGAGGCATATTTAGTGCACCTCTCTTACGAATAAATATCTCAATTTGCCTTCCCCTAAAAATACCAAGGACACGTTTTTTCCATCACCATAGGTACAGGGAGAAAGACAACAGAAATTCAACATTTGCACCTTCAAATCAAGACACGAAGCCTTTCCGCAGCTAGACGCTACAGCTCAACGACTTTGGGTGGAATACTCACACGGCGCGTCTTGCACAAAGTCTACATCAACTAGGCTTTGCCTACGCTCTGCTGAAGAATTGCATAGAAACGAGAAAGAAACAGCACCAGGAGCGGATAAAATCAGAACTAGGATCTTCCCAGCTTTCAAAAGGGAGAAAACAAAGTTCAAGCTTTCATTTCAATACTTGTTAACCAGCTATTTGTCAGGATTTGAGACTAAACAGGCCAAACAGAGTTTTACACGTTACTCCTACACCCTCCCTTCCCAGCTGACACAAAAGCTCAAAGAACTGAAAACGAAATACCTCAAAATAAAGTACAGCGCACAAAAAAAGCTCTCAAGCAGCTCCGCATGCTTTATGCATTACACAGAGGAACAGAAAACCTACTGTTCACAAACCAGGCCCAGTGCTCCGGAGAACAGTTGTTTATTTGAATCAACCCAGTACCAAAAGGTTTACATTAAATATTTTTTCATTGCTGCTAACCACTGATCCAGTATTAGTTTACATTAACTCAAAAAACACTCTCGGGGAGAAAACAGGACGCAGAAAACATCGAATCCGGTAAAACAACTGAGAGTTTCTTTGGGAGTGCCGCTCCATCCCACCTTTC